TATCACACATCTTTATAAAATTAAGATTACGGCACACGGCTGAGAGAGCGCAGGTCCCCTTGCGAGTTCACAGCGGGTGACTGCACAAGGAGGAATATGTCGCTCTCCCCACTGGCCGAGTGACCTCCCGGCCCGCCCACCGCTTGCCCTCACCATGTGTTCGCATCCAGCTAGCTCAGCATTCTCTCTCACCCCGACACCCACTTCATACTGGTTTCTCAAAGACAGTGGGCTGCGTTTAGCCCAAACTTGACCAAGTGACACTTTTGGTGCACGTGCAATGAAAACGAAAGCAACAGATAGATTTGTCAATTTGCAAAACGTATGCGGTCAAAAAATGTTTCCTGTACACGGCATTCCAGGAAGCACAGGACACAAGCATGAAACATTCTGAACTGGCCCACTGATCCATCAACCCACAATCACACACTATGGACAATACAGAGATACAAAACCATCTACACTGGTGAGCAAAGAGGAGTAGCCAGAGGAAAGCCATGCAAACATGCAAATTCGGTGCACACAGAGCAGAGCTTCGCACAGCAAAGATATGAGAACACAGGGCCACACGCTGAAGCATCATGACACTAGAAATGCACTGATCCGATATTTGGATCAGTATTGGCGCCGATCAAGACTTATTTGACAAACTGGGTATCAGTCATACGTGACCGATCCACGTCCGATACTTACTAATTTATGTTTTAGCAGTCTCTAAAAAGATAGCTCCGATTTCACGTTAAATCTATTTGTACACTCGCACCGCAGCTCTTTCCCATTTTAGCTGTGTGTTTTCAGCATTCAAGCTGAACTCTAACGCTGCCACTCAGTGTTTTTGCCACTCAGTGGGTGCGAGCGCGGTGATTTCCGCCTGCTGTGACGTCATGCAAATACCCTTTTGCAGTACGAGGAGCGTAAGAAAATCAAATGAGAGGATGACAGGAGTATTTTACGCATTTGACAACAACTAGTAGCACAGTGATTTGCAATCTTTGTAACAAACAAAGTTTTGATAGGTGGGAGTAGCGTTTAGTAGGAAATCCCACTAAACAAAGCGCAAGACAAGTAATATGAAAAAACCAACTTGGTGTAGCTTGATGATGTTACCAGTGGGAGAAAAAATGTGTGGCTTTTTAAGCATTCGCCACTTGCGTATGATCACTTAGAAGACATTCCAACTGAACTGCAAATGCCTCATAAACGCTTAAAACAAGATGTACAAACAAGGTGGAACGGTACGTTATGTATATTTCTAGTAGTCTAATTAAATACTTTTTATCTATATGTACTATTTGAAAAATATTAATAATATATAAAGAATAAATATATATTTATTATATTAAAATATTAAAGTAAAAATAGCTCTTGTACCAGAATCTGTATCGGTATCAGCAATTGTGAATCGGATAACTGAAAAAATGTATCGCCCATCCCTATATGACACCCCATGTACCCTCTCTCTCAGTCTGAAGTCAACCAAGCAAAGTTTATCCAGTCTATATATTTTCATTTCCACCATGGAATAATATATCAGAAGAGCCATTCCATGTTGGCCTAGCTAAACTAAGAATAAAGAAAACGATTATGTTTGCAACCTACGAAGCTGTGGTTGCCTCATGACCCAACACAGTTAGGACAAATGGATGGTTTTAGTTATCCAGAAGCTGCAATAACCTGCTAGTCCAGTCCACAGTCCGCCATTCCACCAATTTGCAGTCATCAGAAAGAATCTATATTGAAAGAGTCATTTATAAAAACGTCACTAGTCATTGTCTCATGGTGGTTGGTTGCATAGTTCCTTAATTTGATGGTGGTTGGACAGCACGATGTAGCTGTGAGTGACAAGTAGGTTATGGTTTCATAGACGTCACCCCAGCATGACATGAAGCATGCTGATGTTGCCCCTGTCACTGACAAACCAGCCAATCAAACACAGCCTTACAAGGGTAGGCATGTCCTCAATGTCAGGAATGTGGAAATTTGTCCACAAATACAAAGCTTCCACTTCGGAACACTTCAATTGATGCGGCATTAAAAACAAAGACCCCTAAAAGAGAAAAAAACATCATTATGGCGTCACACAGTAACATTTGCATAAGAAATGAAAACTAATTCCAACTACATTTCTCCAACCCCACTCTACAGAGTGGCTGTTTCAAATTGCCTTACACAAACTAACAAGTAAACAGCACGACAGCCAGATTGTTATCAAAGAATAATTCGGCCCTTGCTTCTTTTTGGTTAATTCACAAAAAACGATGCTAGCCAAAGTGCTTTTTTCAGTAACCAGTGAAGGTATTCTTCACAATGTGGTATGACTCGAAATGTCTAATTAATGTGAGTGTTTCAATCCTATCTTTGTCTATATGTAAACACATTTATGTTGTTACAATAGTCAGGTCAACTATCATTCAGGTTCTAGAACCACTGGCTCTGACCTCCTACAGTTCCAATCCTTTTACGCCTGCCATGTCACAGGAGGGCTGAGAGCATCATCACAGACACCAGCCACTTCACCCATGCCCTGGTTACTCCACTATACCCCAGTAAACAGTATAGGAGCACCTCTGCCTACACCACTCACAGAGACAGCTCCTTCCCACAAGAGATAAGGACTGTAAACACCCTTGTATACACTTACACAACGCCCTACAATTTTGCTGTATTTACTAGCAAATCTTCTGCTCTGGTTTTGCACACTCCTCTTGCCCTATTCCACCATGGTTTTGTTTGTCCCACTGCTGGATCATACTAACTTGTATTTATTGTGCCATTACACTCTGATGTCTTGATGTCGCACTACGGTCTTGCTGAATAATTGAACTGTCTTGTGTTACTCTGCTGCCAGATCTGGGAGGGGCAGGGACTTTTGTTTTGAGGCGTAAAGTGACTTTTATTCTGAAGAAGGAAGAGGAAATGGATAGTGTTCTCCCAAAAGCCTCTGATAGATAAAGAAATATACTGTTGAGCAGGCAAGCTTGGTGGGACCAGGTTGCAGAAATTGTTGTTGAAAGAAGCAAGTACTGGGATAAACTGGGATTAACTTAACTTACTGGCAACCTCCAGGGAAGCTACTGGTGGGCAAATGTTTTCATTACTGTTTGTTGGCGCTGTTTAGCATTGTACAGCACAACCTGTAGTGAATGAGGTTTAGAATGTTTGCTGGCAGAACTGACAAAATTGTTTAGCTAAGCTGTTGTATCTTCTTTCTTGTTAGCTTTGCATGCTATGCAGTATGCTTATATGTTTGTGTGTTAGCTCCTGCAATAGCTATGAATGTTTGGCCCTGATGTGTGCTGATGTTTAATGCTTGGCCTGCAGGGTTGTGTTGCTGAAGGTTGCGAAGGTTGATTCTTGATTGGAGAAGAGATTAATGTGCCACATGTAGAGAACCAATAGTAATGTATTATTTGTGTGTTTTCTTTCCTGTTGTTTTTGAAGGTTTTCAGCCTAATTAAGTAGTTAGATACTTAACTAACTAAACTAACTGACTAATTTGGTGACTCATCTGGAATAAAAGGATATTAATGACATTTTTTGAGTTGAGCCTTGTAACCCTGAAGTTTGTGCAGAAGTTAAGACAATACCCTAATAAATTGACAGTTACACTCCCTCAACACTACAAGAGGAGACTGTGTATTTACTAAATAGACATGACAAAAAAATTACCTGAATCAATGCTTCAAGCATCAGTTTTCAGTTTTGATTCAACTTTCTGACATTAACCTATTTTGCTAAATTTATCTGATGATTCATTTTACATGAAATGAAACAAACTGTTCATGACATTGCCTTCGTTAATTAGTAATATGGCATCTAGCTCATTTTTAACACTGAGAGCCACGCACAGTAATCATTTATCGTCCTAACAGCTCTGGCAAAGAAAAGTTATGACAGGAAATGGTGTACAGGCCATACATTAAACCACACTGTGATGAAACCTCTGTGACTATCGGAGAGAAACACAACTAATTCTCAGGCTTCTATCCATCGTCTAAATGCTTAAATTGGTCAAGGTTATGGGGGGTGTAGCCTATCCAAAGTGGCAAAGCACTTTCACACACAATCATACTTGATGCGCGATTTAGGGATTCCAATTAGCCTAAACTGTATGTCTTTGGACAGTGAAATGTAACTAGAGTACCCAGAGGAACCCTTCAACAACAACAAAAAAGAAACATGCAGGATTGAAACCCCCAACGATGGCGCTGTGAGGTAACAGGGCTACTCATCCAGGCAGGTCTCATTCCCGCAGGGCAGTAAGCAAAGCGCTCAGCGGCTGCTTTATGAAGCAGACCTGCCCGTCAAGTCCAACACTCTGCTTCCCCAAACAACAAATCACGCGGATGCAACTGAATATAATAAGGTCCATGCAGACAGGTTCAAAGGGGTCAGTCACTGTGCTGCTAAGCATTAGTACTGCTAAGATGCGTGATTTAACTTATTTTTAAATCGTGTATATGCTTGTGCTTCCAGCATCCCAGAAACAGCCACTTTTCACACACTACGGTGTCCACGGATTCCAGAGAAAAAGGTGTGAGGAACAAAATGCACCTGGCAACTACTGTATTCGGCGCGTATTTAATATTAGTCTTGTCCTAAACTAATTAAGCTGTAATTCAAGGCGACGGAAAACAGACCGAAGTTGTTTCTTGGTGAACAGAAAACTCAACTTTACATATAAAACATGATTTTCCGGTGACGCATCAGGTTAGAAAACACAGCAGTTTCAATATTCTGTTTCAGCGAAGACACTAAATTATTTATATGACTGTCAAAACAGATGCTTTCAAATTTCTTGAAAGTAATTTAACCTGTCTATCCAAAATAATACTTTTAGATTAAAAAATAGGTGGAAGATTTTAAAAGTACGTAAAAGTTATTACATTTAACTGAAACACCATGATGTATACTGAAAGCGCAGAAGTACATATCCGACATCAGTACAGTAAGAAACAGCAAACAGTTTAAGCTGAGTAACAGTAAGCATCTTGCCTTACTTTTATATTGCAAAGTTCGGCCAACCACGATTTTCACGGCGCCAGTAATGCATTCCCCTGGGCTGTAGACCACCTTATTGCTGCCGAAACTGATCTCAAACACTAAGATCTTGCCCATGTCGCTGCCGGCCGTCTACAGGAAGGCGAGCATTCAGTCGGCAAAGGAAAGCGCTTCTCCCCGCTTTCGGCCCCTACGCACTTCTTTCGACACGCGACTGGTTATCAGCCAGCGAAGTTTACGTCAAAACGAGGCCGGATGAGGGCTCCCTTTAACCTTTTTGTTTGTTGTGACTCAGTCCACAAAGGGGCGACAATGTAAGTCTAGTGTCATGTTCACTTATCCAGTGCGAAAAGTTACACTGAAACAGGAATTATAATCAGCCCTAAATGGCAGCTGTGCTTACATTTATTTCAGCCCGTAAATATGTGGTGTCTTTTGAAAAGACCAGGCAAGTCCAGGCAAAAAGATTTTACTACCTAAGGTTGTTGGAGAATCAGGGAAAATGATCCCTTTTCTGCTTTAGTACAGATCTAGAAGAATGGATTTTTATTAATCATAATAATTCTTCAGTGGAGGGTAAGGTGGCCGATTACCTCCAAAGTTATGAGTTTCATCCCTGTTCTATGTGTGTTGAGGTGGCATGCTCATGTCGTATCAGTATTGGTGTCCCTCCCAAAAATCCAGTCACATCACTAAATTTTTACTGGAAATGGATGAATAGACCAGTTTTTTTTCCTCTGTCTCTGTGACATCATGGCTGAATTTTAGTTTCTCGATCAGTACAAGTTGTACTTGAGTCTATTAGCATTTTTAGGGTCACTCCCCGGGGCAAATCCTCAGTATACTGGGCATGCTTTCATTAATAAAGACAAAGGTATAGTGAGATGGCTAGTCTCTGTTGTTAACGTTTGACTTAATCCAGTGTTTTCCAATCTGGTCCTCGGGACCCACAAACGGTCCACGTTTTTCCTCCCTTCCAGCCTCCTGCCAGACAGTCCACATTTTGGGAGCTGGGAGGAAGCAAAAACATGGGCCGTCTGTGGGTCCCCGAGGACCGTGTTGGGAAACACTGGCTTATTCTGTTCCCTGAATGGAACCCATCTGTCACCTCGATAGCACAACAATTCAAAAAGTTTTTAACAGATCTTTTTCAAAGACAAAATATATAGGCGAAGACCTGGAACTGATCAAATTTTGAGACCGATCACACCAAAATTGAAGTAGCTTCATTTAATGTCAGCAAATGGGTAGGTAAACGTGACAACTCAAAAAGTGTTTGATGGGTCATATTTCATCTTCAGGAAAAACATTTTATGAACGAAGATCTAAATCTCATTTCATTTCAAGACAAATTGCACCAAAATTGAATCACCAGCGCTAGGTGGCAGCAAAGGAAGTAAGGTGCAGCAGCAGAAGACACTTCATCTTGTGAACACAGTAACTCTACAAGTATTTGATGAATCTTTTTCAAACTTCCCAGGAACGTTTTATATCTTTAGCTTATTTCATTTTGACACACTTCACACCAAAATTGGGGCAGTATCACTTAGTAATGGCACATGAAAGGACTGTCACAGATGCAGATCTGATGAACCTGATTACATTGAGACAATTCACACAAAGTTGGGATTTTAATAATGATTTTTTAGAGAGATGGGGAAAGAATTTGGGGTTAGAGATTGTAGAGGTTGGGGGTGTGGGAGGAGTAGGGAATAGATGGGGGGTGCCAGGGCCATCTAGGGAGTACGTTGATATTGTTCTGACAGCATGAAGTTTATTTACTCTTTTGGTTCAGAACATCTTGGAGGAGTGCTCTCAGCTGTAAAACCTATATTAAGCCTGACTTTATTTATAATCCTTGTCTAGATGGTGTATGTTTCTTAGGGCTAGTCACTACTATACATGATATTAGCAGCTGCCTAGGGTGCCAACTTCTTCCAGTTGTCCACTTTGTCACGGTTGTGGGCATCTCGGGCACGGGAACGAGGCATCGCAGGCACAGAAGAAGGGTGGACGACCCACTGGCGGCTCCAGAACAAAAAGGGGTTTATTAAGGAAAACGGAAAACACAAGGAAGGGCTAACAAAACAAAAGGACCACGAGGGGTCGAAAACTAAAAAGGGATTAAGTAACAAAACTAAATAACAAAACCTAACTACACAACTAATACGGGGAATCGCAGAAACAAACCATGAAACACAAGCAATACAAATTAACTAACACGCCATCACGAACAACCTAGACAAAGACAATGAACCACTGGGGAACTGAACACAGGCAGGAACTAAAATACTAATGGGTAACGAGACTAACACAGGACAGGTGAGGCTAATTAACAAAACCAAGGAAACAGGGCACAGGTGAAACTAATGAACTCAAAAGGAACTGAAAACAGGGAAACTAATAACTAACCAAGGAAACAGATACTAACACTGGGGAATCTAAACAGGTAAAGACACAAGCAGAGGGCATAAGGAACAAAACCAAGAACCATATACAAAATCACCAAATACAATAACTAGACAAACTCAACTGAAACACTAGGGAGCAAAATACAAAAACAGGAGGCAGGATTCAAACATAGGACGGAAGGGTACTCAAGACAGAAGGGTACACAGGACAACCACATGCTCTACACATTGAGCCACAAGACCAGACAGGTAACAGGAGAGAACAAAGACTAACAAAGAACAGGATGACCAGCAGCACCTCCTGGTCAAACAGGGAAGGGACACGGAAGGACCACAGCAGGGGCTGACCCTGACACACTTAGCCATGCAGTGTGCACCATCTGAGGCAAAGAGATACTGGCTTACTTGCAGCACTGCCAGAATCAATTTGTACCTTTGAGGGTACAATTACTTTTCACTGGGGCTGCACCCTCAAAGGTCTGCCAGTTGTACTCTAGCTGTAGGTAAATGTACCCTTTAAGATGCAGAAATGGACTTTGTGGAACAGTATTACAGAATTGGGGATACATTAATGTTGTTTGTACCTTGAGGGACAAAATGGTCCCAGGGTTGTACCTTGCTTTCTGACAGTGAGCCCTAGAAGTCCTTGCACTCTCCAAACAATTACACGATGTGGGGCACTGACCTGCCAGCCAGTTTCACTTAGGCGCCTGGCAGCACCATGCTGTCACAATGTGGGGGGAGGGGAACGGTGTCAAGGATGATTGCAGGGTGTGACCAAAAAGCACAATGTAAGTGAAGTGGTGACAAGATGAAGAGCAACATTTCAAAATGAGCAAAGGTTGATAATAGAGCCCTCAAACAATCATTTTTAGTTGCAATGCATTGTATAAACAAGCGTGTTGCCACAACATCAGAAAAAATATTGCCTGTATGTTGAGGATAGAAACTGAATTCTATTAATAATGCTCACACTATTTTCCCATTGGGGTATCAAAGTTAATGCTATTAGTGTTAACCCGTCCAAAGAAATAATTACTTGTTAGGATTTCAAAGCACTAATTTAATAAGATATATTATCATTATTTTAATTGTTTAATTATATAAAATACGTTTTACATACCCGAAGCTTCCCGTTTAGGCTCCGGACCCCCCGCAACCCGGAAGGATAAGTGATTTGGAAAATGGATGGATGGATGGATGTTTTACATAACTGTATTTTTGGGAAATATATAATTGTTTGTTTATATGTTTGTTTGTGCGATGGCTGTGGCAGTTGGCAGGGGGGAGGGCAGTGTCGGCCTCCTGCTCTGATGTTTTCACATCTCTAACAATGTTTATATAACTTGCCTCTTCCGGCATTCAGCTTCAATATGACTTTCCCTCCCAAATTTAATCATAGTTCCCATTCTCTGTTTTTACGGTTTCAATTCTTGCAGTCCTCCCTTCTGTCATCAGCTGTTTAATTCATTCAAAGACGAAGGAAACCTCTAAACATGAGTAATTGTGATGTCAAGTCCTTCCTCAAGAAGGTTGTAGTGCACATAAAATAATGAGCACTTGCCCATAATAGCATCTCAAACCCTGTTTGTCTCTTGCAACTGGTTTGAGTCTTCTGGTGCATTATTCTCCAGTCTTGCTTGGATTTTGTGAAAGTTTGCAAGATGACCGTCATGCAAAGGCTAAATTAATATGTAATATTAAGTAAGAATTCGGTGTTGCAATTGCATCGCTATCTGCATCTCTGTGTCTGGCAAAGTACAGAAATGCATGCCAGGTCCTGCGTGGTGCAATCGTAGTGAACTCCAACACTGAAGAACCTCAAATGCGGTATCCTTGTTGACTATAAGCAGGGATTGACATAACTGGTACGCAAGTACGCATTCACCTGTAAAGACGATAAGTGCGGCAATCGATTACTGTAACACGCAAATACATACGTATTTTATGTGCAGTTGCGCCGATATGACAAGAAATTATCGTGCATTTTAAACTCTATACGGCGAATGAAGTACGAATTAACATATAAAGGTTAAAATGCACGATAATTTCTTGTCATATCGGCGCAAATGCACATAAAATGCGTACGTATTTGCGTGTTACATTAATCGATTGCCGCACATATCGCTTTTAACGGTGAATGCGTACTTGCGTACCAGTTATGTCAATCTCTGACTTTAAGTCCCTTACAATCCACAAAAAGTGCAAAGGACATTAGCCATCTTGTCAGGTTAGGGGCCTACTTGTCTTCCACCCAAACCCTCATCACTGGGGTACCACACGGTTTTGTGCTGAGTTCCACACTTTGCTCACTCTTCATTTAAGATTGTATACCTGTCCATAGCTCTCTAGCACCATCAGCAAATTTGTTTTGATCTCTGACGATGATGATGAGTCAACAATTACTAACACTACTAACAACCTGACTATCAAGACAAAGAAAATAAAGCAGCTCATTGTGACCCCAGGTTAAATAAGATTGTACATTCCCCCATTTACATGAATCAAGATGTCTTGGAGCATGTCGCCACTTTCACGTTTTTAGGCATCCACATATAGTCATACCACTTATTCCGTGGTTTTTATTAATTTTATCATTAATTTCGAAAAGGTAGCATCATAATCTCACAGTGAACCTTACAGCTTTGCATTCATGTTAATCATGTGGGTTACCTAGCTAATTATGTGGGTTTTCCTGAATTAAATCAGTCACACCTGTTTTCTCCTGTAAGCCCCATTTTCTTCCCTTGCATTATATCACCCGATCCTAAACTAGTGGCATCATCCTGCACAAATTCAGCTGAAGCAATGCCTTCAAATACACAAGTCATCATTACTGCTTTGGAGATGAAGGGGAGGGGAAGTGCAGTGCACTGCCACCTAGTGGCCTATTTGAGGGTATATCGCTTTAGAACATTAACTGTTTAATA